ACGGGAGGTATGCGGGGGCGGTTTTGCAGGATGCCCGCCGCAACAAGGAACGAATTTACCTCGAACTCGTTGCCAGTGGCCGTTGCCGTTTAATGGTTTTGGCACCGCCCGCCTCACGCCGGCCGTGTGTCGGTATTTGCTTTGCTGCAGCATGGAGAGCTTTGCGTTCGTACTGGTCCTAGAGTGCTTGGGTTGGCCCGGGGCATTGGCGTTGGCGCCAACTGGCCGCAATTGGGCCGCGGTGCTTGCAGAGGAGATCCGCCGCGCGGCGCATCGCCGCTACGTGCCGCTTCCGGCCAGTCCGGCACCAGGGGGGTTGCTTCGCGCCTTCTGCCGTTGGACAGGTTTGGCGGATCTGACGAACTGCCGCACTGCCAGCACGATGGAGAGGTATGAAGAGGGCACCCGAGTGTGTGTCTGGGGCGTTAGCGGCCGCTGGGCTGATGAGGCCCCAGCATTCCTGAGCAGAGGTACGGCGGCATGGGACAGACTACCCGAGGCGGTGGAATGGCTTCACGCCGCCGCGGACCGGGAAGAGTGGCGGCACACCCGCAGCTACGCTGCCGTGGGGCCGCCAGGGTATGAGCTGCTGGTCGAAAGGTGGACGGTTGAACTCTGTTTCGAAAACTTTTGGGTGCAGCTGTCGCAGCAAGAAACCATGATGCTTCGGGATGACCACTTCAACGACTTCTCGGACAGCTCAGAAACCTGAGCGGTACGCTAGCCTTCAGGAGGACTCAAGCAGGGGAAGGGTCAAGCCACCGAAATTATTTTGAATTTTAAATCGGGCATCATTTTTTTGTAATAGCATTCTTACTTGGGTTACGCAGAATGATCATGGTACCGGCCGGGTTCCAGTCGTTCCTCTGGAGGAGCCGAGCCAGGCGGAAGAATGGCACAAAAATCCTCACAGAGCCTGACAAGTTCGCAGGGCCAAGTTGCTTCGCTGACCCTTGATGAGAACATTGCACATTTTTGTCCCAAGGTTCGTTTTGACTCTGGCACCGCAGCCGTTTCAGAAGCGATCCCATGTCTATGCAAAGACATATGTACATATGTTGCTTTATATATAGCCACACATGGTATAACCATATAGAAGCGTAAGGGGGTTCGAAAGGCCTAAGTGACAAGACGTAGTAACACCAACGGGCTCCGAAGAGGCCTAACATATGAATACCTACACCCCAATGACGGCGTAGCCGACACGATAGACAGCTTAAGAGTTGACAGAACTTGGGCACAGACACCGATCCGGGGCCCCCGGACTGCGTGGTTTTTGCGTTGGGTTGGCACGGAACCTCGGTGTCAGTTGTTTCTGTGCTTTAGTGCAACACTGAGCCCCATTTCTGAAGACAGCACATTTTTTTTTTTTTTGGTTGGACCGGGCCCAGCAGCAGCCCAAGCCTTTTCCGAGACCTAGCAAGGGCCAGTGCCAAGACAGCCATGGGAAAAGGAGGCAAAGGGAAAGGCCAGTGGTCCAGCAAGGGGGGCCTACTTGGAGAACTGGGCCGCCAGAGGCCCGAAGGCAGTCGCGTTCGGTGACACGTACCACGTGTCTCTGCTGCGTGCCTACCCAGGGGAATCAGGAGAGATGCTGGTGAAGCGAGGAGGGGCACGGCAGGACATGGACCTGCTGAAGCTGAGCGGGATCGCAGAGAGGTTGAGCGGACAGAACTCGGAGGCCCTGTCACGGCCAGAAAAGTGGCTGTCAATGCTGGCTGCTTCCATCCGCCAGGCACACAGGGTGTTACCCTATGCAGAGGAGGATCCAGCCCGGTGCGGAACACCCCAGCTGACAGCGAGCCTCTCTGACACGCTGCTGGCGGCGGCGACGTTGCTGGATACTACCCAAAAAGAAAGGGGGACCGGGCTGAGGTCTCGGCCGCCGTGCGACTCGTGCTGGAGCACGTCAGTCGCCCAGACTTGGTCCCCCATCTCCAACGATCGGCCCTGTATGGGGCCAGCCTGTATGTGTACTCCATGCAGACCCTCCAGGCGGGATGATTTTTTTTTTCTCCTTTATTTATTGCGGCTCATGAGACATGAAGCCAACTGGGGTTCTGATAGCACCTGACAGCTGAATCATGTTTAGTGGCTAGGTTTTTCGATTTTTCCGACATATATAAACCGGTAGGACAACTATATCATGAAGATGGTTTCTTGAATTTTTTGTTTGAATTTTTGTCCCTCAGTTATCTCATCTACAGAAGGGGGACTGTCATGACGTTTGCATTTCTTTGGTCCATCGTTCCCTGCCAGGCAGCATCCCTCATGGCCCACCGTGACAAGTGGACAGCGGAACTTGGTAAAGCTCTCGAGCATTTGCCCCAGGAAGTTCGTGACTTCGTCCGCGCGCCGGACTCGGACAGTGCCCTTTTGGGAGCCCTCCTGGCTTGTCTGGAAAGAAGCGGCCAGACGCCGCCGGGTGTGGCAGCCGACCCCTTGGGAGGAGGAGTCGGTGCGTTTGCGGAGACAGCGGAAGAGCTAGAGGCCGAGGCCGCAGACCCGCTGAGTGGGGGGTTGCGTGGTGGCACCACCAGAAAACGGGCCGCCGATCATTTTATTTTCAAAACTATTCTAACAACGCACAAACGAATGAACAGCGTGTCAAGAACGCACATGCAGGAACGTTAATAAACAAGAACGTTATCATCCCCCCCAACCCCCCCCCACCCCCCTACCCCACCCCACCCCACCCCCCCACCCCATCCCACCCCCCCGAACAAACCCTGGCATGCCAACACGCAAGTATAAACGCAACAGCGTCAAGAAACACAGCAAAACGCGCGGAAAATGCAACGACGCACACGAAAACAAGGAAGCACGTGAGATGACATGGATGCTTCGACAGTGACGCAAACATGAAAAAATGACAACACTCCGCGACGCCCTCGCGGGGACCTTACCAAAAACAACCCTGCCTAAGCAAACACCATGCCCACACCACAAAACGCGCAAGCATGCGCAAGCACAAGCGTATCGATTTTTTGTCAACCTCCTATTGTTTTGACGGGTTTCACGCAATAGCCAACATCCAATGCACACCCCAGCACATACTTAAACAGCGCAAATTTTGACAGAATCTCATATGCCTCTTGGTTTTGCACATCTTAAACGTTTGCTACAGCACACTTCCCTAAATAGGTTCCATTATTATTGTTTAGAATTTTTCTCCCAAAGCCTTTTCGACGCGCAGGGTTTCAGCGATGTTGATACTTCAGTACAACTTATTGGCAATCCAGCAATCCTAAGGTCATGTCTGGGATTTGCACATAGAACCAAAATTTATCGCGCTGAACCTAGTGTTTTGGTTTTTTGGACACCAAAACCATTTGGCGGTGCGAAATTTATCAACATGCTCGTCCATGTACAAAATGCAGTCGATCTCATCATACTGCATGAAAATTTGGTGTTCCAAAGTTGTCACAAGCAGCATGGGACACAAAGCATGGAAACGTATGCCTCAACAGAGGGGGGACCCCCTTGATACCCCTAGCATGTTATTATTCCACCGTGATTATTCCATTTAAATTATTCCTTCTAGTCAGGGTATCCCCGGAATAATTTCGTAAGGTATGGGGTATAAGGCCATCTCCCATTTTTCCGTCTTAGCGTCTCTACCTTAAAAACATTGTTTTCAAACCTTTAAGGGGCCTCATTTGGGAAGGACGCAGTAGGTCCTACAAAGAGTTGTGCGCCCGTGTGCCACTACAAAAGGCAGCGTGCATATCAAAGTCATCCCATCACACATCGAATCTGTGCTGCGTAGGCGAAAGGAACTCTGAGCATAGATTCTTTGAAATTCAGTGAAACTTCGCTATTACTTCACTATTGGACAGAAAGATCCCTACCCCTATAGAGGGGGAGGGCGGGGGGTGACAAAACCAACCTGTCGAATTCCACTTTTTCTTGCTTAGAAACCCTGGGGTAGTGATCCAGCCTCTCAAATGGAATTTTTAAGTAGCATTCCTTAACAAGACTTGGGCACTGGTTGGAAAATACTTGGGCTTAGCGCCGGAGCTAAAAGCAAGTACGATCACGGCAGCGCAATTTTTTTGGGGGATGCAATCCCTACACATGTGCTGCTTCAGTCTGACATGTGCACATGGAATGATGAGGAATATTGATCATTGAGAAAACATGATTGCAAAAATTGAATTTAAAATGAAATTTCAGTACGACTCCCCCCCCTCAAATTCCATTTTTAAGAGGGTAGGGATACAGAAAGGGCAGGAAACGAGCAGAATGGGATACATTCAAAGATTCAAAATGCAATTAATAATCGCACGCAATGGCCAAAAGGAGTGTGACAAAAGCACGGCGCAGAGATTTTGAACTGCAATCATCCGAGCTATGGAGCAACAAAAACGATCCAAACCCACAACTTTAAATTCAGCAGGTCGGTTTTGAAACCAAGATTGGTCCCATTTTTCCGTCTTAAAATCCGGAAGGGGGACGCAATAGATTCTACAAAAATGTGCCGCTACAAGATGCAGTGTGCATCGCAAAAATCATCCGGAAACTAGGACATCACGAATCGAATCTCTGCTTTGTGGCCGAGAGAAAACTTTAAACTTGGCTGAAACTTCACTATCGGACAAGAAGGGCAGGAACCTAGTAGAATGGGATACATGTAGATTACAATTAATAATCGCATATAATAGCATGCACTGGCCAAAAGGAGTGTGACAAAAGCACGGCGCAGAGATTTTGAACCGCCATCATCAGAGCTATGGGGCAACAAAAAAAATCCGAGCGCACAATTTTAATTTCAATTGATTGGTTTTGAAACTAAATGTGTCCATTTTTTCCTTGTTAAAGTTTTTACATTAGAAAACATGTTGTGAACCCTGGGGGATCACAGTGGCATCACAAACGCATCGTTTCTCCGCAATCCTGAGCCCCATGCCTTTGTCAGTCGCACCAGCTTGTCTTCAGCTAGGGACAATAGCATTTGCATGACATTGAAGTGAGATGCATGATTTCACACACCCCAAAGTCTAACACTTCAATGTCTTCTTTCTGGAACTGGTTTTGGTTTGTTCACGAATCAACTTCTCTTGAGCACGCCATTCCAAACTCTGATTTTCTTTGACCAGTATAAATTTGTTGAATTTCAAAACGAAAAGCAAAAACTCGATGTTCACGTTGATCTTTGTCAGTGCATCGCTCAACATTTGGCGAGTATCAACCCAGCGTATGGTAGCATTGGTTGCAAGTAAATCTCTTCGAAGAAGTAGCATGTCGATAGCTATCCTCTTGTCCTTCACAATCATGCCTTCACCTTGAACATGGTCATATACAGGTTTGTTGTCAACAGCTATGATCATATGCATCTTCTCTCGCCAGTGCTTATCTTTTTCCAGACTGTACTCTTTGTTACAGAATTCAGCAATCATAGACCGTATCCAGTTGCATTCAGCCACAGCTCTCGTGGCACTCATCAGCTCAGATCCAAGAGTTGACTGTGTTTTTCGATCCATCTTGTAACTTTTCCATCGCAACGGTGAAATGCTACTCCAATCATTATTTGATATTTTCCTTTCAGCAAGAAGAATGAAGTAACCAGCCTGACTCCCCAGTGTATCAGTATTTCCCCAGCTAGCATCGGACGTAACCACAAGGCAAGCTTCATCCAAAGGTATTGATTTAATATGTATTTTCACATGTGCATAGTCTCGAATGCGAGCAACCAACCTGTTTGCCTCAATCAAATCTTCAACAGTTGCGCGATTCACCCGTTGTTGGAGCAGGGCAGTATGTGCCCCAATATCTGGACGAGTGCTTCCCACAACCCAGTTTGCTGCACACAGTATGCCACGATATTGTTGAAGCTCATGTGCTGTGATAGGTTGGTCTTTTTGTTTTCGACGCTCCTTACTGATTTGAATGGACTGAACCTTGTTGGCATATTCTTGTTGATCAATTGAAATAGAAAATTCTTGATTTTGTTTTATTTTTCGCCCAAGAAAAGTACCCTCATTTTTCACCCAATGTTTGAAGGGATATTTAATCTTGAGTTGAGACAACACTCTTTCGTGAAAGTTCCTGTTACCACCAACAAGCATGTCGTCAACATGAAGCGCAAGAATACCACCTAAATGGTCTTGGTTTTCATTGTCAAACCACAGGAAAACGCATGAATCCAGCTCACTTTGTTTCATTCCAAGTTGCGTAAGAGTAGAAGCAATGCTACGCCACCACTTCAATTGTGCATCCATGAGTCCATAGACGCACTTGGTCAGCTCAATCACCGCATCACTTGGTATGTCTCCTGCACCATCGCGAGGTAGGGACGCGAAGATTCTTCCGCGTTCACGTGTCAGTTTTTCTCCTTGTAAAAAGGCTCCTTCAACATCCGCGATCTGTACATCCCAGCGAAAACTTGCAATCAGTTGAAGTGCTATTGCTAATCCATCAGCTGATAAAGTGGGACTCTGTCTCATCAGAATGTCAATGTCAGGATCCAGATAGCCTTTGATGACCCACCTGCATTTGATTTCATCTTCACCTTTCCGTGTTTTGACAAATCTCGACTGCAGAATACGTTTCGGATCAGTTTCACTCCGAATTCTTTCAGCTTCAGTTCCTGTATGTATAATGATAGAACCTGTCTTCAGCAGTTTGTCAAACTCCGCTTTCTTTCCTGCCAGCACCCGTCTTTGATCGTCTGCACCTTGTATGTCCTTTTCACATTTCCTCTGCGATCTTGTGCCAAAAATGTCTCGTAGTGCTCTTTGCATCTCCTCGCTGAGTTTTTCATCATGTCAGTGGTCAGTATTTCAGCATCACGTAAATCTTCATTCAGCAAAACTTCTGTCTCAAAGCATTCCAGTGCATCATCACTGTCGTTTGTTGTTGCTCTTGCATATGGTGTCCTTGCCGCTCGAATGTCACCCATATCCAAAAGGTCTGTCGAGTGGCGTAGAGCTTGCGTCAGACTGCTGTCCTCCAGAGTTGCTCTTCCACGTATCGGCCCATACGATGATGCTCCTGCAGTATCAGGTTGTGGCTCCTGCACATCACTAGGAGTCTGCTGCTCTGTTTCGTCATCATCAATGCCAGTTGATTCTTCATTGACCGCTCCTTCAACATTCACATTCATGTTGCCTGATGGTTCTTGCTCTTGTTCCTCCTCGTCCACCTCGATGGCCTCTGCTTCCGTGTTCTGCCTTCTTCTCTTTGGTTCTCGAATGGTCTCGTTGATAGTTCCAAATTCAGGTGGCTGCTCATCATCAGCCGGTCTCTTTTCTCTCGAGATGTCAGAAAATGTTTGTGCCCCACGTTTTGCATATTTTCCAGATTTCTGCAGTATTTCAGTGGGTACAAAACGAATAGCGGCTTCTTGATCAACTGTCAGACCTCTCAACTGTTCAGGCGAGCAGCGTAACACTTTATTGCCATGAGTGATCCAGATACGTGAATTGTCGTAGAAACCAATAACTCTCGCTGGTCCAAACCAAGAGCCCCTCTTATCGGCGTCTTTGTGCTTGATCGGTCGCCAATAGAAAACATGTTGCCCCACTTCAAATGTCGTTGAGACCCGAGTCCGGTGTTCGAGGGCACGTTTTACTTTTTCAGCGTTGTCACAGTCCACCATCGCACGTCTGGCTGCCAGTCTGAGTGCATGTGATCTCACACATGCATCGCCACGGTGATACTGTTGTGTTCCTCCAATGTATGGATCAGTTTCGCTTGTTATGTCAGGCATTCTCAGATCGCATCCAAACACATGCTGCATAGGACTATAGCCATGTTTTCTACTCATCATGTTCTTTGCATTGTTGCAGTGATCGATCAGCTCGTTCAATTCCTCCTTGTTCTTTGGTTGGGTTTCTTCAAAAGCTTTGGTAAAAATTGTCTTCCAGATCCCCCCATGCCTTTCTGCGGTGCCATTTTGCCAGGGTGCATAGGCTGCAGTCTTCTCAGTTGCTGTACTGTCTCTGTCAAAACCAGCCTGTACCTCACCTTCAAATTCATGTCCTCCATCCGTCAGCACTCGAACTGGTGCTCCTGCCCATCTTTTCCAGTGTTTTCTATAAACCTTTCGTATGTGATCAGCTCGAGCCCCATTCCACAAAGGCACACACAACTGGTAACCACTTCCTTCACAGTAGATGTTCAACATTTTGAGAACTTTTTGTTGGTAAATGGGAAGATCAAAAACATCCATATTCACTTGTTGATTGAAACTCTCCGCACGTTTGGTTTTCGTCACATTGTGTGCAGACTGAAGTCTCCTAGCACTACAAACACTGCAAGAAAAATGTTTGGCACATTCGATGGCTTCCACGCTGGCATTTGCGGATTTCAACATATGAATGAATCTCTCTTTACTGGGATGACCAAGATTCACATGGCACCTACGAATGTTGGCTTCAAGATGAGACCCCTTCTCCAACTGTTCAGTCGTCAAAACTTCATGTTCCCATTTTCGGCATTCCTTTTTGACAAGTCTCACAATGGCTTCAACAAACCTTTTTGGGTAAACTTGAGCACAAAGCGACCTATTCACCCACCGACCACCCAGTTTAGTCTGACCCTCAACATGTTGATGTCTATGGTTCCCATCACAAACCTTTTTCAAATCATGCCTAAATTCCGAGTTCGTGAGGATGGTGGTACTCTTTCGATACAACCAATTGTTTTGGGGGTCTTGAAGTCCATACATACATTGATCAACCGGAATTTCACTCGATCCCTCCAAGTTGCGAACTCTCACAACACATGGTTCCTGCCAGCTACTCGCCAATTTGGGATGTTCAAACAAAAAAATCCGACCCTGTTCATTTTGCATTTCACAAAGTTCCATGGCAAACGCAAGCAAAACACGACCCTCAATGGTCTTTCGTTCACGAACCTTGGGATTTTCCTTGTCCTTACTGATGCGAATCATAGGAGAGAAGGGACCACAAGGGGGACAAACCAGCAAAACACGAGGCTTATGTTTCTTGATCTCTTCACGGCACTGTTTTCGGTGTTCAGGATTCAAAAAATCCCAGCCAGTCCCAATGTCATACGATTTGAGACCCTTCAAACCAAACTTTTCCGCACACGGAACCACCCTAGGCATGGAAAAAACTTCACCAACATGAGGTTGATCACACTGTTGCATGTTCACATGAAACACATCACAAATGTTCATTTCTTCATGTTTCTCAGTTTCATTGTCAATAACAGAAATGTCTCTCATGTTTCGCTCCAGTTTCTTTCGCTGTTTCCTACTGATCACACACTCAGTCTCTTTTTCCTGCGCGTTGCTACAGCGATCAGAAACAGGTTCATACCTGCCATCATCCTCCTGATGTGGACGTTGGCTTACTGACCCATGTTCATCATGAACTTCGCCAGTGTCTTCTTGTCCATGTGCTCGAGATGTGCTCTCATCTGAGCCTCTGCCACTCCGCGATTCACCTTCATTTCGTTGATCACATGCTCCCAACGCTGCACCATGTTTTTCTGATGCGTCGGGGAAACCATGCTCCATGCATCCACCTCCATGTCGCTCTCCATTGGAGCATTTGGCCTGGTCTTCATAGTCTTTGGCACATTGCGCCCTTCTGGACGGCGGCCGCCCGTTTGGGTGGACATCACCACGGGCATGGGTACCTGCATGTGATTGCTCTCCGTCACTCGTGCTTTCTTCACTTGGTCGCGGAAATGGATGTAGACTCTGAATTTCTGCATCTCCAAGGAGGACGTCGGGGTGATGTGATCTCTCACCCAGCTGATGTAGGGCTTGTCGGTCTCGTACTGAGTGGCAATGTCCATCACCACCTTCTTCTTGGCATACTTTCCTTCCTTGAGAATTGTTGTTCCTGGAATCGGAGAGCTGATCCCATCGCTCTTCAGATCTGGAAATTTGTCCAGATCCTTGACGGTCATCTGATCTTCGCCCGGTTTCACCATGTTCACCACATTCTGCAGCATGCTCTGCACATTGACATCCTCGCTGCTGCCGCTGTTCAACCCCATCATGTTCATGTATGGTGTCATGGCTAGGATCAGCACTGTCACGTCGTGGTAAATCACACCGATCACTTTCACGTTCCTTTCTCTCGAGCTCAGAAATGTCATAGGTTTTCACTTGTTTATGACAAACCGAAAAACAGTCTTTGGTGCTCGAAAATTCAAAGATGGGAATGGCGTAATGACCGCGATCAGTTTCCCTACACTTCAGCTCGACATGAAACTCACTAAAGATAACCCTATCAGTAGTCAAGTCCAAAACCATGCCAATTTGCTTCATGAACTCCTTGGACAACAAAAGAGGAGTGTTCTGACCAGTTCCAGGTAGCACAGCTGCTTTGATTAAAAACTTCCTACTACCCACACAAGCCGGAATGATAGCAACTTCTCTCGAGACCAAAGTTCCCGCATTTCCGAATCTAAATTCTGATTCACCCCTCTTACGGACAACTCTATATCCTTGTCTCTTGAGATGTTGCTCTAACATCAGCAAAGTGTAAGCTCCCACAAGCGTTCGTCTGCAAGCTGTGTCCGGTACCGCGCACCTACCTAACTCAGGGTCATCACAACCAGCTAGGCCACTCTCAGCGCTCAGTACCTCTTCTGGAGAAAATCCAAACTCATCGTTGGAGACAGAAAAAAAATCGGTCACAAAACTTTCAGCAAAATGCTGTTGTTCTGGCACGGGGCTCAGGTCGACATGGGATGCCACTGTGAAAGGGTTGATTTCGTTCTTTTCATACTGGATCTGCTGGTTTCCAGTTGCATGGGTGTCACTGAAACCAGTCTGCTGGACATCAACACTTGTTTTCCAAGTCTGCTTTCTCGGTGGCTTTTCGCGAAACAGCTGCCACAGCTGGTCATGGCTCTCCTCTTTCTCATCGATCACAACAACCTCGGCTGAATGTGCTTCTGCAGGTGCACTTCTCTGACTGTCCTTCACCTTCAGGTTTCCTTTCTTGGCTCTCTCTGGACACTCACGCTTCCAGTGGCCCTGTTTGCGGCACACATGACAGCGCGTCCGTGCCTTCAGTACCTCTATTCTGCCCCTGACTGTGCCGGACAATTTCCACTTTTGCCCGTCTTCTTGTTTTCCATCATGGAATCCTCTGCTCTTCTTTCTCTCTTGCAGCTTCTTCCTGATGTCGACATAGCTCTCAAAGCATTCCAAGGTTTCCTCTTCGTCCCCACTGTCTTGGTATGGATCTGTCAGGATCTCCAAGACTTCTTGCATCTCATCGAACTGTCCCACAGGTTCTTGAAAAGCAGAAGCCACTGTCGCCTGCTCTTCCAACTCGGCTTGGAACACCTCTTTGGTGTTTTTGGCGCTTCCTCTTCCTTCTGGAAAGATGGCCCGCACCGAGTCAAACACATCCTTGAACTCCAGGGATCCCTTTGTTGCAGTAAGGACCAGGCTCTCTTGAGCACTGTCGAGCCTCAGCTTTTTGATCAACATGAAGCCAGTCACCTTGTCTGGTAGCTGCACCTCCTGTTCCCGTAGTTTGCGAACTTGAGCATCGAATCTCGCAAAGAACTGTGGATAGCTCTCGCCACTTTTGATGCTCAACTCGTAGAAGAACCCACGAAGCGCAGCCTGAAGCAGATCACGCGGTTGGGGCATGTACTTGGCATCTAAAGTCTCAAAGATGAGCTTGGCACCGCCCTCTTTGATCAGGTCCTCAACGTCCAGGGTGTCAAAAAGCTGTTCTGCTTCACCCTTGACGAATTCCATGAGTCTTGCACCATGTTTGGCACTAGCCACTGTGCTGGGTAGACCAGCTAGCATTAACTGTGCCCTACGCTTCCATGTGCGGTATTGCCCATGGTCTGTTCCATCAAACACATCCAGCTTGGAGCGATCATCGCGATCTAACGAGGCTGCCATGACGCGTCGCCGGTCTTTAACCAGGCTCCGCTACCACTGTGAACCCTGGGGGATCACAGTGGCATCACAAACGCATCGTTTCTCCGCAATCCTGAGCCCCATGCCTTTGTCAGTCGCACCAGCTTGTCTTCAGCTAGGGACAATAGCATTTGCATGACATTGAAGTGAGATGCATGATTTCACAATGTTTTTTTTCGTGTTCATCTTGCTACGAAATGATCGTGAGTCAAGAACCAAAAATGGTCTGGGGGTCCGCATGCCATAAGTTACTGTGACTCACCATGACCTGCGAAAGCAGACTATATGGTTTTTTTGTGTTACCCAAAGCATCCCAACATAAATCACTACAAAATTCCGTTCCGATTTTTAAGAACTAAGTTTGAAACATGAAAAACCGCAACAAGATGTAGCGCGTGATCACTGACTACGGACGATTTTATTTTTGGAACATGATTTCTATCCTCAAAATGGGATGGTATCCGGCACGTGTTCACCCTTTTAGTAGTGGAAATGGTAAGGGGAATATAAAAACAATAAAAGTATATAAAAGTGTTCATGGTAACAAAAAATGTAATAACAACAATGGTGTCAACAATAACAAAACTAACCACAAATCAGAGGGAGAACAACTAGGATACTAGATACTCATAAGAATACTCCTGAGAAGAAAAATAATCATAGAAAGTGGACCACTCCCATCCACCGTGCAAAAATGAACAAGAAGTGCGCAACTTCGGTTCCAACATCCTCGTCACGCACCGCAATACTACCAAGCACAAGGTGAAGCAGTTTCGTCATCTGTTTGTGTATTTTCAGGTTTCAGCTGGGTTATTACTATAATCCCAAATAGACTGATAAACCTATGAACGGGGAAACAAAACAACCGTTAAGCTAGCGACTCACGCCTTTTGTCCTGAGCCGCAATGCTAGTCAGCATGTTACTAGATACATGTATGTTTTACATGGGGTGCAAATACACCCCCCTCAGGTGAGCCGGACACGGCAAGGCTGCCCATTTACCAGGGCTAGGCTTTTAAAGCCTGCCTTACCGATCCAACTCTTTGCAAACCCAAGGGAAAACATTCAAAAGTATGTGCGGCTTTGTACAATCGATCGTCAATGCAAGCAGTGTCAAAACTTATCCCTCTTCCCATTCGACTCGGCCATGCCTGATAACCTTTTGGTACCAGCGCCCATGCCACTTCTGCCACTCGTTGGTGAACTGTCGATCATCTTGGGAATGACTTTGCTGAGGGCGATTGAGCCACTGACTTGCTGACGTGGATGATGAAGCTACCTCTACGGTGGATGGTCGGGCAACCGGTTTGGCGGTGCCTTTCTTGGAGGGACCTTGGCCATACGCTCCAGTCTGCTCAGCTTTGCGCTTGGCCTCGTTCTGCTCGCGAGCCCTGTCAGACTGCTTCTTCTTCTCTGCAGCGTTCTGCTTGTACAGCTCCTCGTTTTGTCCCTTGATCCACCTCAAATGACGTTCAGCATCATGAACAGCAATGTTGTCAACACCAGTACAAGACAACAAAAGATTGTGTCCAGGATTCCGGTTGAGATAGTCAATGTACTCTTCCTCGGAGTAGATTTCCGTACGGTACATGTAGAACCATGGTTGGTCGATGTACCTGAACGATTTCGGGACATCAAGACGGCTTGCCAAATCCAAGTAAACCAGCCTCATCGCGTTGTGCTCCAGCTGAGATTGCTCAGAAACACCCATCTTGACCTGAGCTTTGGTGCGACCCGGCTTTGGCAAATGTGCAGACTTGAGGAGATCGTACCGTTCACAATCGTACTCGTTCTCCCCCTCGTTCAGCACGCTCTCTGCGAATGTGGCGTCCTGGGCAAACCTGTCAGCCACAGACACATAGCCCAAGCTCAAAGCACGGTCGAATCGACTCTTTGCCCTTGCCAATAAACCGGCTTCCGGGCTAGAGCTTCCTCTTGCCTGGTCGTCCAACAAACCCAAAGATTCAAGCTGACTGTGTGTGATGCTCTGCAGGTACTCACCACGAAAATCATAGTACAAGCCCAGCTTGTGAAGGGCGGCCTTCCTTCGTTCTGCAATCTTGGTTCGGTCGGCCTTGTTCACCCCTTCGAGCATCAATCCACACACATCGCATTCAATCTGTCCCTTGAAAGTCTGTGCAAAACATCTTGAACATTGCGTGACTTCAATCTTGACCGGCACCGGCTTCTTGTCCTCCTTCTTCACCTCTTTCTTCGAAGGTTGGTCATCGCCTTTAGGGCGAGACTTCTGCTTTGGCACCAGTGACTTTGATGTTGATGCCGGCGTCTTTTTGGGTGACTCTGCAACTGGAGCTTTTGGATCTTTCTGTATTGCCTTCGGCGGTGCAACTTTTGAAACAGGCTCCAAGAAGGCCGCAGCTGATGATGCCGCAGGCACAGCTGCGGGCACGCTTGTCAGGGCTGCCTTCTTCTTTGCAGGTTCATCCTTTGCTGCTGCATCAACTTCTGAGGTCACAGCTTTTGGAACTTCTGGTGCATGAGGTGCAGAAGTCCCTTCCTTCGGTGATGGTTTTGGAGGCGCTTTCGGCGGTGTCTTTGGGCTTTCAACCTTTGCTGCAGGAGGCTTTGGAGCTTCACCCTTCGGAGGAGGGGGCAACAATCTGCTGCTTGCATATCCAGGCATACCGGCAAGTTGGGCCACATTTGGTGGCGGAGGCTTCACCTTTCCTGGGAAAAATTCCGTTGCAGTGGGCGCGCCAGTTGAGGCGGCCGGAGACGTGGAACCAGTCCGTTTTGATGCCTTGGCCTCAAAGGTCTCGACAAGCTGCTGGACTCCAACTTCTCCCCCACTGCTCGCTGCAGACTGTGCGATCTCCTGCTGGCGACGATACAAATTCACCTTCTTGGCAGTGTGATCGACAGAGATAATGTATTGAGGCGGTACGACGTCACTTGTCAAAATGCCGTCAGAGGCCGTCCTGAAAAACACAATGCCAGCTTTGACAGCTTCAGCCATTGCTACCCTGATTTCAATGGGTCGTTCAGCACGCAAACCGCTCACATACTCTTTCTCGTCGACACGCACTTCGCTAAAATAGGAGTGTGCTCTGCCTGATGAATTTCGATCTCCTCCTCCAGCAACGAAGCCATTCTCAATGATGCCCTTCCAATTGCCTTTTGTAGTCCTGTGATAAACTACGCCGGGGCACATCTGAGGAGTGGTAATCTTTTTACCTTTGGCGTTCATTTTCTGGATCGCTGCTGCTCCAGACAGAGCATAGATTTCCACTGCATTGAACGTGTCCTCAGCTGAAGCGGCATCCATGGCACGTTTCGTATGCCCCTGCACTGCACGGATCCTGATGGGCCAGTAGGCTAACCCTTTACGGGTTGCCTTCTGGTACCCGGCAATGCACTGGAACTCAAAACGGCACTTGTTGTCCCAGTAGAGCAATGAAATGAGCTCTTCAACTGTCATTCGGGGCAACTTGGCTGGCAGCATTTGGTTGAACATTCGAAAGAAGTCATCAAGGTCAAGCCACATGTTTTCATCAAATCCAGAGGTGTCCTGACCCGGCTGTCCACGCGTCACTGCATTGACCTTGGTCTTGTGTCGGTCCATGCGATCTGGGTACCTCAGCTCCTTTGCCCCATCCATCTCCCAACAGGTTTTGACGATCAATTCGTAGGGATGGGCATCAACGACACAATGTTCAACTACTTCTGCATTTATGTTTTCGTCCAAAGTGATACGATATTTGTCAAGGTGTCCAAGTGCATGTTTCGGAATGATGGTACCCTTGATCTCGTTTTCTTGCAGGGGCTCACCAGCTGAGGTGGCCTGAGTTGAATCCTCCTGTGTCGTCTGAGGTTTCGCCTTGGGGTCAGGTGGAGCTGCGTGGCTGGCCTTGGCCTTGCCAACCGATGGGCCCTCATGCTCGTCGGGATCCAGAGCATCCCATGGGTCGCCTTCTTCATCATCATCTTCGGCGACACCAGCATCGGTCGGGCGAGCTCTCAACTCCTCTGCTGTGAAGCTTTCTGGGGTCGAGACGCTCGGTGCAGATTTGTTCGTCTTCTCACGGAGAGCGTTGAGGACCTGCACAAACCTGACTGGGAGGTGCTCCATCTTTGGTGTGACATCACGCATTGTAGCCTCTCCTGCAGGGCGCCTGCGCTTGTACAAAGACAGGTTGTACTGAGGAATCAAGATGTCCGTCATGTGCAACATGTGGAGAGTTGCCATGACATATCCGATCATTTCACTTCGGTTGAGCTCGGTCTCGAATGCGTGAAAGTAGTCCCTGAGCTCAAGCCTCGGTGGAAGCATGTCATTCTGAATCCACCGAATTCGATCGTTGTCACTGGCAATCTCCTTGTGGAACCATTCCTTCAGTCGATCAACAAACGTGGTGAAGATGAGACTCAATCCATAAGTGAGCGGGTCGGGCTCGCCGATTAGGGCGGCCTGATCCACTCCCAACTCCTTGAGCTGATTGTTCCACCACACGATGTTGCCTTTGACCCTGTCCATGATGGCATTCCAGTCGCCCTGTGGTTCCCTCTGCCCCCAAATGGGAAGGGGTTCAACACCATATTCCCCACAAATTTCATTCCCAGACCAAAAGATTACCGAAATAACCCTGATGGCTGATCCATGAGAAGAATATTTCGCCATCAGCTCCTTGATCATGGAAACATTTGCTTTGCAGAGCTGTTGCAAATCCTTACCCCAGAGCATGTCATGACCGATTTCGAGAACCATGTCCGACTTTCGCAATCCCAGATCCTCCTTCAAGGTGTACTTCTTCAAAGTCTTACCCTTTCCAGTGATCAGAGCCAAAGTTGAATCGGAAGTCACCACATAGATGGTGGGCACGACGTCTACCGCCGGCCTTGATGTCCCAGGGACGTACTCAGTAGGCAAGCTCAGATCCCACAGCGAGTCATGTTCGAGCTCGGACAGATGGCGGATCTCCTTTGCCCACGGCACGTTCGTCAGGGCGTCAGTTGCCATTGAC